TTTATCATTGAATCTTCACAAATAACTCTATCATTCTGTGCCATGGAGCAGCTTGTCAGGGTTTTCTCCCGAGTGGGTTTGAACAACTGATCTTTCAGTCAGCAACCAAGCACTTAACCACAGTGTCACCAGAGCTCCTTCCCTATGAAGTGGTTGCGGTTACTGTGTCAAATTCATACCGAGAAACAGACACACACATAAATGCATCAATGAGTTTATTGTCATGCTTATTTACAAAGGTGGAGGTTAAACCAAAGCAACAAGAAATGATAAAGCATCCAAGGAGTAGCAGTGAGGAGATGTGCTAGCAATCTCCAGATCTGTGAGAGGCAGAGGGACAAAGGACTGAGAAAAGCTGTATAGAGTCTTCAGTGGAGAAATACAATCAATCTAATATGTAGTAAGCAGAGAGCTGGAGAAATAACATCTCCATTCTCCTTCCTTTGTCCAATCTTCAGCCAACACGCTCCATTAGTCATACCCGACTAGATCCAATTTGATGGATTTCTGGTCCAGACAGAGCAACTTTTGGGAGTACAGGACAGACAGGGTAAATGGTGATTTCTCAAGTTATTAGCTCCTTTCATGAGATCAGGAAATTAAAGCTCAGAAACATGAAGATACTAGTTTAAAGTAACACTGCATAGACTTTGTAACTGGGACTGCAATTTCTAATATACTTAAGCCAAGAGCTGAATCTTCGACACTACCTACCCTATTCTTTCAGGAAGTCTTCTCAGCTTATTTCTTAATACTAGATCCCAAACTCAATTGTTCTCAAGTAAGTTGCAGCTCACAGCAAGTTCCTAGGTGTCAGAGAAGAACCGTGCACTATAGACTTCATTTTCAGAAGTAGGTTTCCAGGCCATTCCTTGAAGGTTCTTCTAGTTAGACATGACTTCCAAGTGTTCAATTATCATCTTTTCCATGTGCACCACTTGTACTACGAGGGATTTTATTTCACATCCTTTGTGCATGCTATCAGGAGAGGCCAGTCCTTGGAGAAGGACATCATTCTTAGTAAATTACAGAGTTAGAAATTAAAAAAATGGCTGAAGCAATCAATATTGGCTGTGCAGATGCTCCAGGACAAAGCAGTGTTTTGCTGCCCATAAAGTCCCTACAAATCAGACATAACTGCATGGAACGACAATAACTATATTAAGGATCAAGTACATGACAAGGAAGGAAACAAAATTAAAATGCTAGTGGTCTGGCTCCAAGGTTCTTCTCATCACAATGTGGTCTTAAGCATGAGTTATGGTGCATTTTATTTCTGCATTCTAGAAATGCAATTGGCCCTTTTAATAATTGTTCATATCAAGATTATTGGGATCACAAACATTACGTGGTGAAAGCTCTTTTTCTGTCATTGCTGTCAAGTTGGAAATGATTCACAGCTGATCCTCCAGTGCAATTCTGAGGCTGTAAACTGCATAGGAGGAGACCACCTTGGGTGTCAGAACACTTGAAAATTGGCTTTTCTACCAGCTCTGTCTCATACACTCTGGGCATGTTGTCAGGAAGAACCAGTGTTTCCAGAAAGGACATCATGCTTAAGGGTAGAGAGACAGGAGAGGAAGATCCTGGATGAAATGGATTGACTCAGTGACTAGAGTAATGGGGGTAAGTGTGTCAGAGACATGAGAGTAATTCAGGATAGGGCAAGTTTCAGAGCTATCGCACATAGGGTCACAATGAGTCACATGCGACTCAGTGGCACATAACAACAACAACAACCATTGTGTTAACCCCTATTAGGGGCATGGCCTCCAGCTACCTTAATAGCTGGCCCATGGCCTTGCAAATCATTAACAACTGTAGGATCCTTATAAGAGAGAGAGCTTTTCATACTTTGAGGTACTACCCTGGCTATGACTGTAGTGGCAAGATTGTGAAAAGACTGTGGCCCTGGTGTGAAGAGACTGTGGCAAGGTGTAACCACAGGAAAAGCGGACTTGTTACTGCTCTGAGATAAAGGCCACAGTTAAAAGCTTTGCTTGCTGGATGATTAGAGGAAAACCTGACTGTAACTGTGCTGAGACAATATTTGCTAGATGATTAAGGAAATCAGAGGCTTCTTGCATTTGTACTGCTAAACTGAACTTGGACTTTCACTAATTGTGGAATTATGCATTTTTTTTTACCTGACTTGGACTACTGAACTAAATCTGGACTTCTATTGTGAGATATTCCTTACCTGTCCCACTCCCCAACCTATTTCCCTAATAAACCTCACTCATTTAACACTTTATTTTCATTTATTTATGAAGTTTGAATACATTGTTTTTCACAAAAGATCCTTCCCATTTCCTTCACCTCACCCACTCATTGGATTGTGCAACCCTATGATTAACGCCCTACCCTCCACCCATTCACACCCCTCTATTTCCACTCTCCCCTCCCATCTTAGATCCTCATATTCATTCTACAATAATGGTTTTATGCATCATTTGTCCTTGTGGGACTGAGTTAGTTCACTCAGCATAATGCTTTCCAGTTCCTCCCAAGTTAGATAGCAATTTACAAAATTTCACAAAATCATTGCTCCTGCATGCTGGGCACTCTTGGTACCACAACTGTGAGCAAAGTCTGTAAGTCAACAATGAATATTGGACCCAAATGATTGACGGAAAGCATTGCAGACCAGGGGCAAAGTATTTTTAGAAGTATTAATAATGAGACAGAACACCAGGAATGTAGGAGAAAACAGAGGTAAAGCAGGAGGCGAACTGTTCTCTAACCACTGAAGGGAACTGCCTGCCGATTCCGGCTTCCCTGTCTTTATTGAAAATTGTCAGGAAGTAAATCACAAAGAGAATCCAATACAGGTGAAGCTAAGCTTTCTCTATTGACAACCTTCTGCTTGACTCAGGTTGGAGGGGCGATGTAAAAATCCTGTAAACGCTTAAGGATTACTTTAGTGCTTCAGGATTAATTCCAGATGATATCAACCTCCCTCATAACCTGTAGTAGTCTGTTTATTACAAATATGTAATATAAAATTTAGTGTAAGTACCTGGGGACAGGGTGGGCAAAAGGACCAAGTCTGACCGAGCAGCTATCTGTTTGCTGTTATGAATTTTACCAGTGAGGACAGTTCCCCTTTATAAAGCAGGTAAAAGACTCAGCCACCTTCACGTTGCATCTGCTCCTTTCTCACTGCCCATGGAGCTGTTGGATTTCACCAGAAAGTAATGACATTTGGGTTAGCAGCAAACTCCCCATAGACTATATCATCAAAATTCCACAAAACACATTACGGAGAAGAGTGGAGATGGGGAGACCAGAGAAAAAGCCTGCACTAAGCACTTGCTGTGGAAGGTCAGGGAGTGCAGTCTTCAGTAAGGATTGAGACTTGATCAAGAAAGCAAAGATTTTCACCACTGGGACAATTGGCAGCATCATAATGGAAGGTGAAGAGATTGAAATTGCAGTTTTGGTTTGCTTGGCTCCACAGTCAACACTCTTGGCACCAGCAGCCAGGAAATTAAAAGACATATTGCCATGGAAATGTCTGAGGTTAGAGACCTCTCTAAAGTGCTGAGATGCAAGGATGTCAGCCTAGAGACTAAGGTGCACCTGATACATGCCATCGTCTTTGCAATTGCTTGCTATGCATCAGAGAGCTGGGCAATGACTAGGGATGATAGAAGGAGAATTGACACCTTTGAGCTGTGATGTTGGAGAAGAGTACTGAATATGGACTGCTAGGAAAACAAACAGGTTTGTCCTGGAGAGGGTGAAGCCAGGCTGCTCCTTGGAGGCAAGGATTCTGAAGCTTTGTCTGACATACTTTGGACATGCAAGGAGGGACCAGTCCTTGGAGAGGGAAGTCATGCTTGGAAGGGTGGAGGGACAGCACAGGAGAAGAAGACCCTTGATGAGATGGATTGATTCAGTGACTGGGGTAATGGGAGTGGGTGCATCGGAGACGGTGAGATTAGCACAGGATAGAGCAGAGTTTAGGGCTGTTGTACACAGGGTCACTATGAGTCGCAGACGACTTGACGGCACATAACAACAACAACAAAAATCCAGTTATTAGCCAAGGGGTCAGGAATTCAGGAGCATGTTATTAATCATTGGAAAAGCATGTCTTCCGACATTCAGGTAATCAAGGTTAAAATAATTTTGGTTGCTTCAGTTTCTACCTCCAGCTTCTTTGCACAGTGCATGAGGTCAAAAAACTTGCAAGTCAACCAAGGACAGCAACTAAGAAAGAATCTGAGGAAGCTGGATCAGGACTAGGGAGACACTGTGGACAGTGTGGCTGGCTGTTCCCATGACTATCTCTATTGCCAGGAGTCCAGGAGAACTAGATGACACTCAGCTGTCATTTCTGAACATTTTAATCAAATATTCCATAGGTGACGGGAGGAAATGTGATCAAGGAGAGGAAAGGCATCAGCATTTAAAATTTTCCTGGACTTTTTTTTTTTTTTATTTTCCTGGACTTTGAACTTCCTGGGACCATGCCCTTCAACTGCTCTGAGATATTCTTCCAACCTTAAACCAAAAATAGCTCCTGAATTCTTTTTAAAACTGTAACGTGTAAAAAATGTCTTTCATTAGCACGGTGCTGTGTTAAGACCAAAATACATGGCATCGAGATGACAAGAACAACTTGAAGAGGCAGATAGGAAGTTTAGGGGGCAATGAGTTCACATTAATGGGACAGGAACCTCTAGGAAAAGGAGATAGAGAAGGGTTGTACAACTTAGATTATACCTAATCACGTAATCAAAGTTACTGAATTGTGCACTCTGTTTTTTTTTTTTAAATACTTTAAAAACCCATATCTTGAACACTCAAGTCTTTTGTAACCCGCTCTAAGACTTATCCACGTAGTCCATTTTTCCCCCCTAAAGAAAACTGATGCCGTAAGAATGAATGGGTCAGGGCATTTTCACAGGAAAGAGGTGCATGTGGAGGCATTAGCCCAGTCCACTCATGACCACAAGGAGGCGCCATCGATGAGCATATCATTTCCTCAGCTTTTACCGAGAAGAAACAGAAGGACTTGGCAGACGGAGTTGGCCAGATGGGGTGTGTTTGGTGTAGCTTTCATGTCCTGTGCCAGCCTGTTCCTCCTAACAGGGGGAGAAAATGTGAAGAGCAATTACAAAATCAAATTAGTTCCTGTCAAATCAATTACTACTCCTGGCAAACCCATGTGTGTCAGAGGAGATTTGATCTTCCCAGGATTTTTAATGGCTGATATTTAGGAAGAATTTCACAAAATCTTTCTTCCCAGGTGTCTCTGAGTAAACTCAAAACAAACAAACAAACAAAACTAACTTTTTTAAAAAAAAAAAAAAATAGAGTTAGGCATGTTAACTATTTGCATCTCCTAAGTGCTGTAGGGAGCCCTGGTGGCCTAGTGGTGCGAAGTTATGCTGCTATCTCAAAGGCACATGGTTCAAATCCACTAGCTGCTCCATGGGAGAAAGACCGGCAATCTCTTCCCTTGGCAATTGACTGCCTCTGAAAACCCTCTGGAAGGTCAGCTGTGTGTTGGTTCTTACTTGATTGTATACAACAATAACAAGGACTCTGTCGAGAAATTAACCCTTCAAAAAAGAATAATTTCTAGCATACTTGGAGACGGCAGGCTAGAGTATCTGTAATATCCAATTGTCAATAAAGATGTGCCAATGTATGATTCTACAGTTTTTTCCTCCAAGAACACAACAATGATTCTTTTTTAGTTTATATGATCATTTCATGTTTTCATACACACAGCGTGTTACTTGTGTGTGCCTGAAGTGTTCTAAGCATTTCTATGACCTCATCCAATCGACATGATAAGAAGTATTATTGTCCCCATTTGACATAAAAGGAAACGAAGGCTAAGAAGTCATGTGGATCTGGAAAGATACAATAATAGCAGACATAGACCAATGTTGATTCATTTTATAAGATATAATATATGGAATGATCATATGAAACACAATGTGCGTGGAAAAAAATGAAAAAGTTTTGAAAACGGATACTTGCTCATGTTGTTAGGTGACATCGAGTTGAGT